ATATTTATATATATAAATATACAAGTTATTTTTACTAAAATATTTAGAATTTTACACCAAATAAATAAAACTTTCAGAAAAACTCTTATAATACTGTTGGTTAAAAATCTTAAATATTACTTCTATAAATCAGTTGAGAATGTACAGTGACTAGCTGTAGTATATATTAATATATAACTAGCCTCTTAATTCCTATATACGTTTAGTTCAGTACTATATATAAATTTAATATAATTTATCTTAAACATCAATCAGTAAGATAAAAAATCCTATAAAGTGTTCATTAATAGAAGTTAACCCTCATTAGGTTCTTTCTTTTATCTGATTGTAAAACTATCAAATTACACTGATAAACAAGGCACAAGTACTTACATTTGCTCAGTAGAAAAAAAGAACTAAATGATTAAAAAAAATATGTGCATAAAACAATCTATAAGACAATAAATATCTTGTTGACTTTCAGTGCTAGAAAAATTATAACAATTTGAATAATACTTTAATTTTTGGATCATAATACTGTAGTTTAGTATTATTTGTACATTTAAATACAACATACCATAGGTTTAACATAAATTTATATTAGACCCAAAAGAAATGTTTTTCATTATTGTATTAAAAACATCTTTTTTTAAGGAATATTGCAGTGCTAATCATATCATGTCCTGTACAGGAATATTTCTAAAAGGTAAAATAGTTCAGATTCCTTTAAAATATTTTTCTTTATCCACTATTAATACAAACACAGATTACAAATTGTTCATATTCCAAAGTTCAATTTAAAACCTTCTTAACAGTTGTTCTTAACTTCTTATGTATGCCAAGATTAATGAAAAAATTTGAAAGTTTTACTTGTTTTTTTTAAAAGACTGAAATTCAATAAAAGTACCTAAACAATAAAAAAGTTAATTATTTGTTCAAACAAATTTCCTCACTGAAAACGAGTCTACAAACATCTATGTAGTAGGTGTCCAACCAAGATAATTTCTTCTAAAGTTAATAGTTTTTAGGTTTTGCTGAGCACAATTTTTTTCCTGAACAATTAAATTGTACAACCAGTGTAGAAGAATAGCTAACCGAATGTAATTAAAAATACATTATACAGAACAAAATTTGTTTAATATTTTTAGAAGTTAATTTCCCAACCAAAAAATTAATAATATAAGTTTAAATTGCCCAGATTTATAGAGAGAGTTGGATCAACAAGTGAAAAATACATACTCAAAAGATACAAAAGGTAGTAACACAAATTACTTCTTTTTATCTCACATATTATCATTACAATACTAGAGAACCTCATCTTCTTTTTTTTCTTTGTTATTGGTGGCACTGCTGATCTCTCTAAAATCATCATATTATTCTGAGACTACATATTGAGAATTTGTTTAGGAAATTGTAATATACATCGAGAATTTGTATCTCTAAAAGAGTTGATACTTTAGTAAGGTTGATTATTGAGTAGTTATTCAGGAACTGGTTAGCTAGTGCTGAAGGAAACACAGTTGAAAATTTGCCTGGTCTTTACACCAAAGTAACCAGATAACATTAGATTGTTAAACTTCATTTCAGCTTGACTCCATTAGAACAAGAAATTTGTTAGACAAAATTAAGTTGAACAGTATTAGTGAGATAACATAGACAGGATGTATGCAAATTACTGATCTAATCCTGATAAAAACATAGTAACTTGGCTTTAATGAATCAAGAACATCTGTAAACTGATAGAAAAGCTTGATTTTACAAAATATACACACACTTATAAAAAATTGGCAAATGCACAATACCTTGTGAGGTAATTGACAATAAAGTTTAAATCCACACTAACAGAATGATACCAAATTGAAATAGAAACTAGTTTAAACATGTCATCACATTTATTTGTAGGAGAAACACATACACTGTTTATTTTATAACAAAAGTTCCAATTCCTTGAACAGCATATGATGTCAAAATGGGATTCAACTCAAAGGGACTTCAGACATGTTTAAATTTGGCAACCTTTGGATTAACAAACTTTCCAGAACTTTTGACATACTTTGTAGTTCTATGTATTAGCTTGGCTGATTCCAGTTTATTTTATGATCAGATTCTCTTATGTGTAGAAAAATAGCATATTTAACATTCTTTTTGTGTTTCACAAGTCTGGTGTCTAAATTTCTACCGATTTCACCAACATAAACTTCTTTGCAGACTTGGCAGAGAACTATTTAGACACCCTGTTCTATATTTTGGAGTGCTGGCTTTTTTGACAGTAAGAAATTTTTAATGGTGATGGGATATTAATAAATAACTTTGGAATTGTTATTTTACAGGCACCTCTCTAAAGCCACAATATTAGAATTGAGTTAACACTAAATATTTTTTCATTTTCACATGGAGATGTTGCTGTTTGCTTTACTTTTTCTAAAAATGTCTTTAATGGTGATGGGATATTAATAAATAACTTTGGAATTGTTATTTTACAGGCACCTCTCTAAAGCCACAATATTAGAATTGAGTTAACACTAAATATTTTTTCATTTTCACATAGAGATGTTGCTGTTTGCTGGTTACTTTTTCTAAAAATGTCTTCCTTACCTTTCCGTGGGTATTTTTCATAAAGCCTATAGGATACTGCAGTCATTCAAAAATTGTATAAATATTTTTTAATTTCACCATCAAGAGTTGTGTGATGACAAATTCTAAAAGTTTTTATAAACATTGAAGTTATAATTGATGTTTTAACTGTCTTATGGCACAAGAAAAAGTGAATGTAGCTCAAAGGGTTTGTTGGTTTTTCTATAGATAGAAAGAACAGGTCCTGTTTCTTTTCTGTTTATGAGAATGTCTAAAATAGGGAAGGATTTATTGGTTTTCTATTAAACTTACCAGGAAATTTGTTAATTAATCTTCTGGAAAAAAGCTTCAAAATAATTTCTATTATTTGGCCAAACAAAAAATATGTCATCAACATATAAGAACCAAGGGATTTCCTTTATATTCTGATCGACTGTAGGAAGTAATTTATTTTTAAAATACTCCATGAAGATATTACACAGAATTGGGGATAAGGGGTTTCCCTTAGTCATTCCATATTTTTGTTTGTTATATTGTCCCATGCATACAAATAGAATATCTTTAACATACACTTCCAATATGGAGATAAAAGTGTAGCCTGACACCAGAAGTGGAATGGTAAGTTCAGGTAATTTTCTGTTTAGGAAGTCTATTGTTTCATCAACTGCTTTGTTTGCAAACAATGAACCAATGTCAAAATTGACTATTTTCCCTTCATTTATATTAAAGCTTTTTATTGGCTAGATCTATATTTTTCTGAATATGTGATGATGAAAACTTTCCTAGAATAAGAGATACTAGCCATTTTACGTTTGTGAAATTTACATACTAGAATCGTGGAACACAAAAAGGATGTAAAAAATGGTCAAACAAATAATGCTATTTTTCTACACATTAGAGAATCTGATCATAAAATAAGCTGGAAATCAGCCATGCTAATACATAAAACTGCAAATTATGTCAAAAGAAGAGTTCTGGAAAGTTTGTTAATCCAAAGGTTGCTAAACTTCAACACATCTGAAGGTCACTTTAAGTTGAACCACATGCTGACATTATATGCTGTTTAAGAAATTGGAGCTTCCATTATAAAATAAGCAGTGTATGTGTTTTTCCCACAAACAACAGTTGGACTGAAGAGGATATGTGAAATGTTGATACTAGTTTCCATTTAAATTGGGTATCATTTTGTTAGTGTGGATTTAATACATGCACCTGTTGTTCTACTATAATCTAAGACTTTGTGTTTTCATTTATTTTATGTTGAAACTCTTCTGAAAACATATTAATTTAGAACTAAAATATGATTTGATTCTGTAATGTCTATAAATGTATAAATATATATCAGAACCAATGACTACTAGATGTATAACACTACAAGCAGCTCTGAAATAATTCTTGACACAATGACAGAAGATCTTAATCACCTTATTGCCCCTAATTAATGCCTCTGTGGCATTGCAAACTGCAAAGATGGGTGCAATTATAGTACTTGTGCAGTTCTGGATTGTTTTTCAAATGTTATTTGTTGATTTCAATGCTAATAAGTGTGTTTGTTTTTCTTCTTTTTTTTCAAATCAAAATTACAGTAATAAAAGTGTATTATATGTTGGATTACTATTGCTGTCACACAAGATAAGCTTTATATAAAATACTGGGGGAGGGGCAATAATTAGGGGTAATTTGGTAGTTTATTTTTTTGTGTTGAATGATTAATTAATAATGACTACTATTTTTGCCTTTATAAAGTAAACCTCTTGACAGTTGCATGTTTAAAGGTACAACCATCTTGTATTTGGTCTCTGCCTACATTGTATAAACCCATTTCATTCACTTACTGATTGGATATTAAGATAATTAAAAGATAAAATAAATTTAAAGTTTGATATTATTACCTTTAATCCACTGATGGCATTATTCTTTTAATTTTTTTAAAGATATTAAGTAGGTGAAACATTATTCACATTATAGTTCATCAATATTGTATGCACCTCTAAAGCTTCAGTGAAAAACAGATCCATTCCTCTGACTGAAACAGCTGTGTTCTAACATGTAATCAAGTCTGTCAGGGTTAGCATGAGTAGGGTTTTTGACCTTAAAATTTTATTTTTACTGACATAAAGACAAACAACAGCCTTTTTCTGTTGACATTCTATTTTTACAGACATCACTGAAAGGAAACATTCTTCTATTTAAGGGTTAACAAACCAATGGCGTTTTTGTATTGACTCTCTTTTTTATAGATCATTAAAAGAAAACTTTTTTTTCTAGTTACTTGTTTACAAACAGTGTTAAAATATGTCTATGTTGTGCTGATTATCTGTAAACTTAAACTGCTCCACGAGCAACACAATCAGAGTAAGAATTTGCAGGGAAATCATTATAAGGTCCTTAAATATGAGAAGTACACTCAAAGTCAGGTCATTTATGTGAGCAGTACAATGAAGATAATTTAATTTATGTGGGTAGTACAATCCAAGATCATGTCAATTATGTGAACAGTACAATCAAGATCATGTAATTTATATGGCTAGTACAATCAAAGATCATATCATTTATATGGATAGTGGTTAGAATCTACGTGTGCAATAAAATCAAAATTTGAGGCTTTATGTGATCATCTATATGATCACCATAATTAGTGTTAAGGGTTTTTATGTAATATTACTTCATAAAATATTGAATGGTTGCTTATTTTTTCATTTCATTGCAACTATTGATATAGTTTTCACCTAACATTGAGATTTTTCAATAAAAATTATTTTCTCTGTTAGAGTATACCAACAACTTTGTTTATAATGAAAAAATATTTAAATAATATCCCAGAATAGCAGGAATTCACAGACTTAAAATTCAGTTAAATATCATAATGTTACATCCTCATCATTTGTTGGAGCTAGAGATGAATGAATCAGTCACAGGCAGTAAAAAAATTATATTATTATTTTCATATAAAAACTTTTTCAGGCAAAATCACAAATTTCTTTTCTCATAACAGTATGCTAAATTTAGAAAAAACAGCTAACCTCAAACAATGATCTAATCACTCAAGTCGTTCCACTTGATATACACAATGCTTAATTTAATTACAATGATTATCATCCTATGTTAAACCATACTTAAATTACCATCTACCTACTGAAGATTACATTTTGATGGCATTTCATAATTTATAAGTTATGCATATATATTAAAATAAAATAAACATTTTATCGTTCAATTTATCATTAACTGTTTCAAATACAATTTAACCTATAAAATTCACAATGAATAGCAATTTGGTAGAGAGAGGAATACTCTCCCTAAACTTTGTTTGTCTTATTCTCTTACAACATATATAAAATTTTACATTTAATTTCCATTACCAAACAGAGATTACACTGCAGTGTTCAGAAAAAGAATGGAATACCAAAAGTAAATTGGATCATACTATAAAGGTTAAACATTTCTGGACTAAAATCCTGAAGATAATATATCAGGAGTACAGAAACTAGCCAATTCCTGTTGAATATCTTGGAATTCTTGGAGTTTCTGGGCAAGATGCTGGCTCAGCTGTTCAAGTGTTCCTCTTTTGGAGCAATTTGTGGCTTTAGTAGTATCAATTTGTTCTTGTAGTTTTACAATTCTTGTCTTGAGTCCTTCATTTTCAACAAGCAACACCTAAATATACACACATAATTAATACGTTATGTGTTTAATACACTTTGCTTTTGGAAGAAAACAAGATATTACAGCAACAAAAAATTTCAAATGGTCTTTAGAACAATTTAAAGTGTTTTTATTTCAAGTAATTATTAATGCTTTGTTACATTAATTACTTAGACATATACCTCTGAGAAAACAAATATGTAATTTGTTGATAATATTCATAGGGGATTCATCACTTACAATCAGAGGTGTAAAAATAATTATCATAGAATCTGGTTAACTGTTTATAATCACTAGTCAGATCTGGAAATTGAGTATCATAAAATACTTATGTTTGAAAAGTTATAATTTTGGGAGTGGTAAACATTTTAAAACCTACCTCATGATCTTACCCATTTAATTAACCAAATGTTGAAAATCTAAAATATATCTTGATCTGACTAAAAATAAATACTTATGAAAAACCTAGAAAGGGAAATTCTGGACACAATATTGAAGCCAAACCTTTTCAGAAATAATTTTTTGAGTTGCTATTCTCCATATTCACCACATAAACTAACAGAATAGGAAAAATTATATATCAGTATGAACTTTCAAAGATTTGACAGTCTCTGTTAATTAAAGCATAAATTAACACTGTGCATACCAGGGTATCAGACAATGTGGTAAAATTAATTTTACTTTCATTATAAATATATATAAGAGTATGTTTCAGATTTAACAATCTTTGTCAGTAATATCAGCAATGAAGATAGGTTTGCAGTTAATGTGATTAGACTGGTTTACTTTTACCCAAAATATGTAAGGGCAAATTTTAGATTTAACATAGAAAATTTCAATACCTTTTTTCACTCAACGAGAAAGATTTGGCCTAAAATGGTTATGATGTCAGAACTGAAGCAAATATTCATGGTTGTCTACAATTTAGGATATTTATTTTCAAAACATGGGGTATGATCTTGTACAAGTCAAACTGAAAAACAACAACAAATCTTTGGATTTCAAGAATACTGTAATTTTTTATTCCTGTCTCAGTTTCTGATATTAATAATTATTTAAAATTCCTTGATGATACTAGCATCCCACTTATTTTGTGAAATAGATCTATAAAAAAGTAGTTTGTTCAGAAGCACAATTTTGCAAAATCTGGAGTTAAATTTTAGAACAATTAAACTATTGAATCCTTCCAAATGTTTTACATACAAAGCCTTGTAAGTTAATTGATTAATTCTGATTATTTTGTTATTCTTCTAAAATATTTGAGAATAGCTTGTTTAAAGACAAATATTATGGAAAAACTGTTAAAAGTGATTTAAAAGTATTCCCAAATTAAAAAAATGTAAATTCACTGTTAAGATGAGAAATTTAGAAGATTATAAAAGATCAAGAAGGTTGGTCAAACAGGAAATTAGGACATCAAAAAGGATGTATGAAAAAAGATTGGCTGAAAATGTAAAAATGAACAATAAGAATTTTTAAAAATACTGTTATGACAGCAGAAGTCACATGATGCTGGTAACACATGATGAGTTTCTAGAAAGATCATGAAGGCTCGAGTGTTTGCCAGATGCCCTCTATTTTTGTATATATAAGCCCAGCAAATAAAGCGGAGAAGAGAAGTGACGGCATAGAGAATTACAGATAGAGACAGATAATCGAGTCAAGTCGTAAGTAAAGTGCGTGAATCATTGTGAATTATAGCGTGTGTTTAAGTTAAAATGACTGTGGAAATTAAGTGTATTGCGAAGTTGTATTGAGAAAGAATAAACTAGTTTTATTTAAGAAAGTACTTGTATTGCTGAAGTTTCTCGGAAAGAATTTCTACAGGAAATTAACAAACGAACAGAGACGTAACAATACATTGAGAGTAATCAAAATGTTAAGGTGGAGGTATGACCCTTGAGGGATGATAAAGGAAGGCTTGTATCTGATGATTATGAGATGGCTGGGTTATTAAATTTTGCTTTTTCTTCAGTTTTTACAAATGAAGATTTAAATAGTTTTCCTCATCTTGAACAGTTGATAGGTGGAAACAAGATCGAACAAGATGATCACATTAATTCTAAGGTTGTAAAGAAAACATTTGGAAGTTTAAAGAATGATAAGGCTCCTGAGCCAGATAATGTTTTCCCAAGGGTTTTGAAGGATATTAAAGATTGGATATGTGAGCCACTTACTATTACTTTTTGTACGTCCTTGTATAGTGGGCAGGTGCCAGAGGATTGTAAATTGGCTAATGTTAGTTCTCTTGTCAAGAGAGGTGATAAAAATTGCCCCAGTAATTATGGGCCTATTAGTCTTACATCAGTGGTGGGAAAAGTTTTGTAAAATCTGACAAAAGATGCTTTGAAAAGTTATTTAACAAAGCTTAGACTTTTATTGAATAGTCAACATGGTCTCAATAAGAGAAAATCGTGCCTTACAAATCTTTTTATATTCTTTGAAAAGGTTACTGCTTATA